ATATTTAATATTTATAAAAATATAAATATTTTTATAGTTAGTATGGAGTTATTAGTCTTTTTGAAGTAACATTTTCAAAATGTAAAAACTGTTTTCCCAGTAGAGGAATGCTAAGTGTGAAGGAATAGCCATTGAGATACATTCTTAGGTGCCCAGTCTTGAAACATTCAATCTTTCCTTTAATTTTTCTGTTCACTATGCCCAGTAAGCAGCTGTAGCCCTGGGATGCCTTCGAGCTAAGTTACGGTGTTACTAAATGCTGCAGCTGTAATAATAATTAATGAATAGGCAAAGAGGTATTTATTGCTTGGAGGCCAAACAATATAATGTCTTAGTCATACCCAGAATTTCGAGATTTACTTATTAGTGGTGTTTTTTGAAATGTAATGTCCCAATACAAGTAACTCTGTAAGTGGGAAAACTGAAACATCCATGTAATCATGTCAATATATTAAGTGGCTTAGAGAATACCAATGAATGTTTTTCTGATTGTATTTAGATCACCTAAAACAGAAATGTCACAATACAGTTAAACTGGGAAAATTTTTACTTATGAAAACTACCATCTTATGGTGGCCTTGAGTACTTACCCTTTCCTGTGATGTTTGATAGCGGAGGTGAAGAGCTGTGGGGTCCCAATCTACAGCAATATAGGCATTTCCAATGAAAGCTCTGTCTTCTCCACAATCAATTTTACAGCCTCTGCAAAATCTAAAGGGACGAAAATGATCTACTAAGGAATGAATAATTATGAAAGAATCAACATTTTCTTTATCAGAAATATTATCTCTTTATACTTCTCCACTTTCTTGGGTTCAGAATCTGTCATGGGCCTCTAAATTAAGACTGATAAATATATGAATATGTATTAGTAATTATTTTTATTTCAGGGAAGCATGCTCATTACTTCTCAAGTCTTTGGTTTTTCAAAGCACTTGATAACCATTTGTTAATCCACATGAATGTGTGGACTTTATGGAAGATAAATGACACGGGGATTGGATATTTGAGATAATATACCTCTAAGAAAATTCTAAATTTAGTCATTTAATACTCCTGAGGAAGGACATCTGATATAACAATGCCTATTTCCTTGTTTGTAAAGTGGCACACTAAATAAATGTTTGTAAAAATTTATGGGAAGGGAAGGACCATGACAAAGCCATGATTTCAATGCCTATTTAGATTCCATTGGCTAAGTCTATTATAGTTCTCTGAAGGTAGTTGACTTTAGCACTCAGATATTTCGCAAGCTGCAACAATACTGACCAATCAGTCTCCATAATTCTTCTAAAAGTCAAAAACAGACTTCCACGAAGTCTAGTAAGTAGACTATGTTCTACTGGGCTCAGAATGCTAAACTGATTTATATGTAAGGAGCAGAAGGTATAAAATAATAAATGTTAATCATAAACTATGAATTTAATGAGGATCACAGAGTTTACAAAACCAGCTAAGGCTCAAGAGCAAAACTTAGCTACGGACCACATAAGAAAAAGATGAATCAACAATTGCGATGTTTATTTCAAGCTTCTTATTATTTAGTATTACTTCTAAAAACTGGAAACCTTATGCAAAAGGTATAATATCTGAAGCTGCAATGCTACTAAAATTTTTCTTTTGCATAAGATTACTTTACCTATACCATGGGCACCAAGCACAGGAGTTCCCATCTTTCTGCACAACTCGTAGAGTGAAGGGATACTGATAGCCCATACTGTCATCACTGAAACAGAAGAGTATAAAAAACATTTTTTTTAAATTTGATTTTTTATTTTTTTAAATTTATATCCAAATTAGTTAGCATATAGTGCAACAATTTCAGAAGTAGATTCCTTAGTGCTCCTTTACCCATTTAGCGCATCCCCCCCACAATCCTCAGTTTGTTCTCCCTATTTATGAGTCTCTTCTGTTTTGTCCCCCTCCCTGTTTTTATATTATTTTTGTTTCCCTTCTTTTATGTTCATCTGTTTTGTCTCTTAAAGTCCTCATATGAGTGAAGTCATATGATTTTTGTCTTTCTCTGACTGACCAGTTCCATTCATGTAGTTGCAAATGGCAAGATTTCATTCTTTTTGATTGCCGAGTAATAGTTGTGTATACATATAAACCACATCTTCTTTATCCATTCATCCATCAATAGACATTTGGGCTCTTTCCATACTTTGGCTATTACTGATAGTGCTGCTATAAACATGGTGGGGGGCATGTGTCCCTTCGAAACAGCACGCCTGTATCCCTTGGATAAATGCCTAGCAGTGCAACTGCTGGGTTGTAGGGTAGTTCTATTTTTAGTTTTTTGAGAAACCTCCATACTGTTTTCCAGAGTGGCTGCACCAACTTGCATTCCCATAAAAAACATTTCTATTTGAGGTCTCAACTCCTTTTCATTTTTTCTTTAAGTAACCCTAGGAAGGGGCATCTGTCAGAGCAGTATGCTCATGGTTGACAGTTCAATGCTAGTTATTTTAACCCATTAGCAGCAGCCCTGTACCAACCCCACTCAGGGCTCCCATGTTGTATCCCTGTTACAGAAGGTAGACAGACTAGACTGCCAGATGTCTCTAAGAGAGGCCATGTGGTCCACACAAAATTTTAAGATAAGCTAATAACCTTATAAGCTAATAAGCTAATCATGAAATCAACTACCAATTATCCTTCAGCCCTAATTCTATCACAAGATTTAATTCACATTAAACTAAAATAATTAGACCTTTCCATGACAAGAACATTGCCACAGCACAGAAAGCCGAAAGATCATAATGGTTTTTAGAAGAGCGGACTATATATGATATATATATTATAATATATAATATATATAATATAATATATAATATATATATTATAATATATAACATATATAATATAATATATATATAATATATATTTATATTGACATATTTCCTTTTTTTTTTTTTTAAGTTTTGTTTAAGTAATCTCTACACCCAATGTGGGGCTCAAACTCACCACCCTGAGATCAAGAGTCACATGTTTTTCCAACCGAGCCAGTCAGGCACCCCAGAAGCGTTCTTTAATCAGAATCCTGATGTGGTACACTGTGAGGCACCCTTTTCCCTGCCTTAACTACTCAAAGCTATAAGCTACCTAACATTTTTAGAGTAATGTCTTTTAACTGCAAGACAGCCTTGATTCTCCCACTTAAACAAGTATTTTTCTTCATCCTTGCCCCAATAAGAAGCAACGCAAGACACCACATTTGGCAACTGGTAGTAGCTGTTACATGGTTGCTAAAGGTAATGAAACCATGATAAGGACTTTGCCACCTCCAAAACGTTCAGTTCCAAATATCCTACTTTGCAATAGCTACCTCCTAACTTTTTAAATCGCTTATTCAAGAATCACTACTCTAACAATTCTTTGACCAAAGAGAAATTTCTAATTACTGCTCTCAAATCCTCACTTTCCTCCTTATCCACTGTCGCTCAAAATAATCATCTTTTATATAGATCCTCAATTCCAGGAATTTGTCCATCTAATCTAAACATTCAAATTTATTGACATTAACACTCACAAAAATAGAGAACTGTACAATGAACCCCCATATATTGGTCACCCAACTATAATCATCATCAACCCTCAGCCACTTTTAATTCACCTATACCCTTAACCTAGCTCTACAGATTCTTTCATTCCATTTAAAAAAATGGGAAAATATACATAAAATTTACCATTCAACTTTTTTTTAAAAGTAGGCTTCAAGAACAGTGTGGAGCCAAACATGGGGATTGAACTCACAACCATGAGATCAAGACCTGAGCTGAGATCAAGAGTCAGATGCTTAAGCAAATGAGCCACCAGGCACCTGTACCATTTAACCATTTTTAAGTATACAATTTAGTGACATTAAAGGCATTCACAATGCTGTCTGTGCAACCATCACCACCATCCATCTCCAGATTTTTTCATCTTCCCAAACAGAAACTCTGTACCATTAAGCAATAATAATACTCCTTTCCTCCCAAACCCTAGTAACCTCTAATCTAATATCTGTCTATGAATTTACCTACTCAAAATGTCTCATAAAAGTGAAATCATACGGTATTTATCCTTTTGTATCTGGCTTATTTCACTTAGTATAATGTTTTCAAGGTTCAACCATGTTGTAGTGTGTATCAGAACTTCATTCCTTTTTATGGCTGACAAATACTCCACTGTATGTACATACCACAGTTTACCCATTTGTCTGCTGATGGACATTTGGGTTGTTTCCACCTCTTGGCTATTGTGACCCACTAGGTTATTTTGAAGGAAATCAGAGGCATTTTATCATTTTCATTCATAAGTATTTCATTGTGTTATCTCTAAATGACTAACTCTTATTATTTTTTTTATTGCCTGTAGGACTATTTTCTCTTTAATCTATTCTAACCTCCATGCCTTCATCTATACCATTCCATCTATACTAAAATAGCTTTTGCAAAGGTCACCAAAGACTGCCATTTTATCAAGTCCAGTGGTCAGTTCCCAGGCCTCTTCTTACTAAAGCTCTCTGTAGCATTTGAAACTGATCATTCTTCCTTTAAACACTTCTTCACTTCTGGGACACCACTCACTCCTAATTTTCTTCTTTCGTCACTGGCTGCTTCTTCTCAATCTCCTTTTTTGTCATGTTTCAACCTCTAAATGTTGGAATGCATCAGGAATTACATTGGGGGGGGAGGTGTCTTCTCTATCTCTTACTCTCTAAACGTTATCATCTGGTCTCAGGGATTTAAATACCAACTATTTGTGATGACACCTATATTTTTATATCTCCAACAAAGGACACTGAAGTCTATATCCCACTTAAAAATATAACATACATGTTGAATTTAACTTGATTCCTGTCATCTCTTGCTCAAACCTACTCCTTCCTCAGTTTTCCTCACATTAAATGTTACCACCATTCACAAACAATTGCTCAGGCTGATAACCAAACTTGGGTTCCTCTTTCCCTCATACTCCATATCAAATTCATTAGCAAGCCAGGGAAAAGTCCTCATCTGGAAGTTCTTCAATTTAATCACACTTTCACTTCAAATTTAATCTTGCCCTATTGTCATTTTTACTTAACACGACATTCCTCAACTAAATTGCTTATTATTTGCAGTTTTCCTTTAAGATTTATTCTTTTTTCTTAAATTACTTTTTTTTTTTTTTTAATTTGAGGGAGAGAGAGAGAGAGAGAGATAGTGCACAGGGGAGAGGGGCAGAAGGAGAGAGAGAGAACCTTAAGCAAGCTCCACACTCAGCAAAGAGCCTGACGTGGGGCTTGATCCACAATCCTGGGATTATGACTTGAGCCAAAATCAAGAGTCAGACACTTAACAGACTGAGCCATGCAGGTGGCCCTCCATGTTAAACTAACAAGGCATGGAAACAATCCAACTGAATCATTTGTTATGGTATGGGGATTTTTCAGAGTTCATGTATAGAAATGTACGTGACTTTCCATTCTGCATTCCAGCAAGTTGAGAGGATACAAACTCCCTGGTGAATTTATACTCCCTAGTTTTGCAATAACAGAAGTCAAGGATAATACCTGAAGCATTTAAAACATTAGCAGGAGGGACTTCAGGTAAGAGAGTACAGAATGAAAGGATTATTAGACACTAGAATGTCTAGGTCATGAAAGGAAGTTGTACAGTCTCTCCTACTCAATAGATCAAACCACATGGTTGAATTATATGCTTTCTGGATGGCTCTTCAAAGAGTGATTAACTTAACATGGAATGTATCCTATATATTACATAGAATTCATATAAATTCTTCTTCTTGAGTTTGGAAACCACCTGTCCAGGCTTATCCCCCTCTCAACTCACCAATCCTGAGCATGGTTACTGGCTTCCTGAGGTGGGAGTGGGCTGGCTAATCGAGACACCTGAATCCAGACCGCATCATACAGGTCCTTCTTCCGGGTATGCACAGTACATGGAACAATCAGTGGCATTCCAAAGAGGCTGGGGCGATTCTTCTGAGATGAAAGGAAATACAGTTCTGTCCTCATCTGTATGTACAAACAAGAGAAGAAAGGGCTGAGAAGACAGGCCTTTGATTCCTCCCTTTCATTCTAAGGCAGCCAATAACAGGCAACAGTATCATTTTCAAAGTAGTCCCTACCACACTTCTCTTTATTTATAAAACCACATTTAATTAATATAGAGAATATGGTTATTTAGAGTGGAAGGTTGAAGATTGAAGTATCGCCAGTTTTAGAACTGCTATCAAACTTTTCAGCATTTAGTATTTTCAAACTAGTTTTCTCTGATAAATATTTCTCACACACACAGAACCACATGTAAAAACTAGTAATGGTTTCCTAACTCAAGGTTTTTAAAAGCACTTAAAATCCTTTCTCTAGAAAGGATGCCAGTAAACCAAACTGCCTCAAAACACAATTTTCTAATAAGGTGTTGACAGCTGTTGTTAGAGCAGCAATTCCTAAACTGTTGGGAAAATATGAAACCCAGCCATTTAATGTTATAACAACTTATGCACCTTCCTAAAAGTAGCTGAGCTGACTTTAGTCTTTTTTGTTTTTTAATTACGTGATAGAATAAAAGTAAAGTAAACTTTAAAAATATTTGCTTTTAGTATGTTAAGGAGATTCCTTAATATAGAGATACTGCACAGAAGTAGCTTGGAAATGGCTGCTTAATAAAACAAAAGTTTAGTATAATAAAAGGTTGACTGCAATTCAGGATTACTCAAAAAACTGCTGAGCACTTGGACATTTAATTCTTTAAGTGTGGTCTTTGTGTAGTAGTTAGAGAAGCTAAATCAACAACTTACAAACTCACCAAAGGTTAGCTAGTTTCTTAAAGACTTCTATTTCAGATTCTCAAGCATTTTCTCTTGCCATTATTCATTTTTTAAATTAAACCCTTTTTTTTTTTAAAGATCTTATTTTTAAGTAATCTCTACACCCAACATGGGGCTCAAACTTACAACCATGAGATCAAGAGTTGCATGCTCTACCAACTGAACTAGCCAGGCACTCCTTGCATTATTCATTTAAGCTTAGCTAAATACGTGATTCTAAGACTGTATTTCATGTGCTGATGTTCTTATAAGACTCACAGTTGATACGTGGACAGAATTCAGAATAACTATTTTTCAAAAACCTAAAAACAGGGGCACATGGGTAGCTCAATCAGTTGATCATCTTACTCTTGATTTCAGCTCAGGTCGTGATCTTGTGGTCATGAGATCAAGCCCTGCATCAGGCTCTGTGCTGGATGTGGAGCCTGTTTAAGATTCTCTCTCTCCCTCTCCTTCTGCCCCCCACCCCTGTGTGCACACTCTCTCTCTAAAAAAAACAAACAACCAATAAAACAAAAATCTAAAAATATAGGTTAATTCTTCTCTCCTTAAACTTCTACTGTTCTTCCACTCTCTCAGCAGATGACTTATTTTACTAAATAAATGAGATCATCAAAGCAATGACCTCTTCATTCCTCAGTGTAGCTCTTTTCTAAACCCACAAAAAATTTTCATCCTCTTGAAGGTAACTTCTCCCAGTACCACTGGGAGATACTACTCAGTTCCTCATGGGAATAACACTCCCAGCTTTCCTATACCAGGAATCCTCCTTTTGCTCTCTCCTAACAACTTTTCCTCCCAGCTGGAAAAACTCATTTGGCCCAACTGTTCAAAGGAGTTTTGTTCCATTTCTTTACTCGGTTATATTGCGAAACTTCAATTTTCACTCTTTTGATTTCTCTGATCCATGTAAACCACTTCTTTCTTTCTTTTTTCCTTTAAATTGACTTTTCCTTTATTTGTCACATCAATACCGTTTTCCCATTTCTCTATTTTCTGAATATTCTTGCCTAGGTTGCCTTGTCTCATTCTTATTCATCTTTTACCTTGCAGAAAGGAGGAGACAAAAAATAAACTACTTTCAAAGTAATTCAATCATGAGATCAGAAAGGTCTGAAAGAAGGTGGCAATAAAAATGAAGAAATGGTAAATTCAAGTAGTATTTTAAAATAAGATATTAAGGGGATGGGGCCCCTGGGTGGCTCAGTTGGTTAAGCATCCGATTTCGGCTCAGGTCATGATCTCACAGTTCGTTGAGTTCAAGCCCCACATTGGGCTCTGTACTGACAGCTCAGAGCCTGGAGCCTGCTTCGGATTCTGTGTCTCCCTTCCACTCTGCCCCTCCCCAACTTGTGCTCTTTCTCTCAAAAATGAAAGAATAAATAAACTTAAAAAAAAAAAGAAAAGAAATTAAGGGTTGCCTGGATGGCTCAGCTTGTTGACTGTATGACTTCAGCTCAGGTCATGATCTCATGGTTTGTGAGTTCAAGCCCCCACATCAGGCTCTGCTGTCAGCACAGAGCCCACTTAGGATCCTCCCTTCTCCTCTCTCTCTGCCACTCCACCACTCGTGCTCTCTCTTTCTCTCAAAAAATACATTGTTTTAAAAAAAAGTAGAAGAAATTAAAGGGCATAGTGATATACTGAATATAGGGTTTTAGAAGAAAAGGGGAGAAAAAAAATCTAAGGATACTCTCAGCCTTTAGCTTTTAGCATGGAAGAATGGTGTTGCCTTTCACAGAAATAATAGGAAAAGGGACTTGACTTGAGACAGACAGATGGTAAAATCAATTTTAGGTATTCCTAAAGCACCTGTCTAGATCATGAAAGAAACTGGAAATCAATAACTGGTTAAAAGGTGAAAATTAAGAGTTGACAATGTGGCTTTATGGTCTAATAATTACAAAAAACTGTATATAATGCTTTAGCACTTACCAAGTGCTCTATAAAACATATTCATGAAAATTCAAGAGAGTGGTTTTCCAAGACTTTTTAAAAAGTACATGAGAATTCTTAATTTATGATCTGATAATACTTGGTTAAAAAAAAAAGAGAGAGAGACATAGGGGAATGCTGATGGGAGTAGTTGGAGCTGTACTTAAAGCCAATACCAAGTACAAATGGATGCCTTAATTCTCTATCCACTCATATAATCCCATACAATCCTGTCTAGAACGTGGCCCATAGAATGTCATCTACGTTGTCAGGTGCTCAATTTAAGTCATGAGTTATTAATTCAAAAGGGTAGACAAGTACATTTTAAAGAATTATCACAAAGCAAATAGCTGTATAATCACTAGTCAAAGACAGAATACAGCTAGCACTCCAAAAGCCTCCCTCTGCTTCCTCCCAATCACAATTTCTTCCTTCCTTCAAAAGTTCAGTTTTTCTAATTTTATGGTAATCACTTCCTTGCTTTTTCTTTATAGTTTCATAGGCTATGCATAAAAACAGTAAATTTCATTTTCCCTGTTTTTAAAGTTTTTATTTATAAAAAGAATCATATATTTTATATTTCTTTTGTGTCTGGCTTCTTTTCCACATTAGGTTTATGAAATTCATTTATGTTGGGTACAACTCTAAATTCATTCATTTTCATTGCTGTAGAATATTCTATCATATGAATGTCTCAACTTCCTTATCCTTTTTCTACTACTAATGGACATTTAATGTTTTTATTTTTTGTTTTCAGCTTTGGGCGATTACAGATAATGCTGCTAGTGCTAATGCTGCTGAATGAATATTCTTGTACATATCTCCTGATACACACGTCTGTTTGGTAGATGCTTAAAAAGGAGAATTGCTTACCTTTAACTAGAAAACTACTTTCCAAAAGAGCTGTATTAACTTATACTCTTATTAGCAGTGTATGAGAGTTCCTGTTGCTCAAATATCCTCATCATCACTGTTAATCAGTTTAAGCTGCTCTGGTGGGTGTGCGGTGATATGCTAATGGAGCTTTAATTTGTATTTCCCTGGTTAGTAGTCTGGCTGATCACTTTTTCATATGGTTACTGGCTATTTGTATATCCTTTCTGTGAAGTGCTTATTTAAAATTAACCATTTTTTATTCAAAAAAATTTTTTATTTGAGAAAGGGAGAGACAGAATAAGCAGGGAAGAGGGGCAGAAGGAGAGAGAATCTTTAGCAGGCTCACACTCAGCACAGAGCTGAGGCTCAACTGTGGGGCTCAATCCCACAACCCTGGGATCATGACCTGAGCCAAAATCAAGAGTCAGATACCCAACTGACTGAGCCGCCCAGCGCCCTGAATTGTTTTTTAATGATTTATATGAGTTCTTTATATTTTCTAGATTGAGTCTTTTTGTGGTTATAGGAGTGGCAGACATCTTTGACTCCAAGGCTTGCCTTTCTATGCAATGGCATCTTTTGATGGAACTAAAGTTCTTAATTTTAATGATGTCCAATTTATTAATCTTTTCCTTTATGGTTAGTGCTTTTTGTGTCCTATTTAAGTAGTCTTTTCCTACATCAAGGTCATGAATGTATTCACCTATTATCTTCTAGGAGCTGTTTTATTGTTTTGCTTTCATATTTAGTTCTGTAGTCCACCTGGAATTGAACATTATGTGGTAAGAGGTAGGTGTCAAGTTTCATATGGCTATTCAATTATCTCAGCACCATTTGCCAAGAAAATTGTCTTTCTCTCACTGCTTTGCAATGCTATCTTTGTTATAACTCAAATGTTCATACATTTGTGAATCTGTCTCTGGGTTCTCTATTCTAAACCACTGTTAACTACTTGTCTTTTCTCATACCAATATCACAATGTCTTAAGTACTTAAGTGTTATAAAATAATTGTAATATCTTGTGGCTCAATTCGTCATGCTTTACTCTTCTTCAAGAGTGTCTTGGTTATTCCAGTGCTTTGTATTTCCACATTTTTAATTTCACTTTTTTTTTTACTTTTTTTTATTAAAAAAATTTTTTTTAATTTAGTTTGAGAGACAGAGAGAGCAGAGGAGGGGCAGAGAGAGAAGGAAAGAGAGAATCCCAGGCAGGCTCCGTGCTGTCAGCACAGAGCCCGATGCAGGGCTCGAACTCACGAACCATGAGATCATGACCTGAGCCGAAACCAAGAGTCAGACGCTTAACCAACTAAGCCACCCAGTGCCCCCGCCCCCCGTTTGTTTAAGTTTCTTTATTTTGATAGAGCACAGGAGGGGCAGAGAGAGAGAATAATTTTTTTACTTTTTAAGTAAGCTCTGTGCCCAACATAGGGCTTGAACTTATGACCTCAAGATCAAGAGTCCCATACTCTACTGAATGAGCTAGCCAGGTGCCCCTCTGCTTCCACATTTTAGCATCAGCTTATCAAGTTTACATACACGAGCATACATACACATAGTAAGCATTTATATTGGGATTGTGCACTGAATCTGTAGATGAGTTTGTGAAGAACTCAGATCTTTGAAATATCTGGTCTTCTAATCCATGAACATGGTCTATTTCCCTCAAATATTTGAGTCTTCTTTAATTTTTATCAATATTTTTATTGCTTTCCATATAGATACCTTGTGTATCTGTTGCAGTTTATTTCTAGGTACTTAAATCTAATGACAAGTGCTATCAGTAAATCTCACTAGTGAACAGCAGAGGGAGAAGCAGAAGATCATGTAAAGATGGAGGCAGAGATTGGAGTTATGAGATAAGAAATGCCTATGGAAGTTGGAAGAGGCAAGGAAGGATTCTCCCCTAAAGCCTTTGGAGGGAGCACAGCCCTGGTGATTTCAGATGTCTTGAGATACCTATAGAACTATGAAAGAATAAATTTCTGTTGTTTTAAGCCATGAAATTTGTGCTAATTTGTTACAGCAGTCCTAGGAAACTTGTTTTTACCCAAGAACGTTCCTGTTTCTCTCCAAAAAAACCAACCAACCAACCTCCAAATACATCCATGCTTACATGGCAGAGAAGATGTACATGCCTACATGAAAATATGGGAGACACAAACTTTTAAAAAGGGAGTAGTATTTGGATGTAGCAGCCATCCTGTTGCTGCTTAATATGAGTGAGGAATGACACTTCAAATTTTTAAAAAATGTTTATTCATTTTGTGTGTGTGTGTGTGTGTGTGTGTGAGAGAGAGAGAGAGAGAGAGAGAGAGAGAACAAGTGGGGGAGGAGCAGAGAGAGAGGGAGACACAGAATCTAAAGCAGGCTCCAGGCTCTGAGCCATCAGCACAGAGCTGATACAGGCTTGAACCCACAAATTGTGAGATCATGACCTGAGCTGAGTCAGACACTTAAACGACTGAGCCACCCAGATGCCACTGAGGAATGGTATTTCACACAATGGCCAGCATGTGTGATACTAAATCCTGGCTCTGATCACTTACAATAACACCCTGAAAGTGAACACAATGAAGAGGCTTCAAAGACAGAAAGTGGCTATGTTTCACAAATGACATTGGTTAAGATGAGCAGTAAGTTGCCTAATTTAAACTAACCATTTTTCGGTGGACTGCAATGATGTAGCCTGTAAAGGAATTGTCAGGAAGAGATGGCATATGACCATTCACCATTCCATTTGTGAAGTTCTTCTCAGTTCCACATGGCACAACAGTGTTTGGCATTCCATTGGGTATAAACATTGGTCGGGGCAAGTCTCCATTGGTTGTTAGGGTCAACATTCCATTTGTAGATGGGGAAGAGGAGAAATCTACAAATTCATAGATAAGTACAGCATCATAAGCTTGTGGTGTTTTCATCTTTGCTCTTTTCTCAAATAATGTGGGGACCAAGACCACTGTAGTAGAGTCTCTTTTAGCAAAGGACAGGGAGAAATCATAGTTCAAATAATAATTCTGGACTGACTGGAAGATTTTAATTTCAGATTTTACTTCTATAACTCACACTTAAGATGAAATGACAAAGCAAGAATAACTGCTGGAAGTAACTGCTTGGAAGTATAAGTAAAAAAAAAAAAAGTTGGTTTTCTTTTAGTTTTCTGAAAAGTAGAAGTAAAATTTTTGTAAGAATCTTTATCAGCATCATTCAACCTAAATGGTATTAAATTTAGACCTGTTCAACCTAAATGGTATTAAATTCAGATGGAAAATCCCATTTTTTTGTTCTTACAAATAGTTTGAACATACAGATAGTTCTGCCACTTGTTTTCTTTTCCCTCTCTATGAATTCATTTCTCTATTCCCCTAAAAATGTTCAGTTGAAAACAACAGTGTCTAGCTAGATGTTCCTTTTTTTTTTTTCATTTTAGTTTTTAAAAAATATTTTTTAGATTAGTTTTAGATAAAGAGGAAAGTACAGATTTCGCATTTGTCCCCAAAAATGCAAAGCCTTCCCCATTAGCAACATCCCCCCAACCAAAGTGATATATTTGTTACAAATGATGAAAGATGCCTTTTAAATTTAAATTGTATTAAAAATGTATTTCTCTTAGTCTCAACAGTCCATATGACTTGTGAATATTTTATTGGATGGAAAAGATTACAGAAAATTTCCATCATTGCAGACAGTTCTATTGAACAGTGATTATTTAAACAAAAAAGCAGTATTAAATCATCCATCAACCCACTATCAATACTCTACTAAGTGCCAATAAGAGGAGCCTCATTCTCTATGAGGCCCTTTATAGTCAGGAAATAAACCTAATTATAAGCAGTATGAAGAATAGACCAACAATGTTAATGGTCAAAAAGATTTAATTGATAACCATATCAAACCACATGCATATTAAACATTCTTTTTTTGTTATTTCCTACCCCCACTTAAATAGATTCTTTTTGTCATGTTTATTGTTTTATTCTCTGATAGTATATTATATATCTCTCACACCATTTGTTGCCATGTTAGTATCAGATAAAAGAATTAAGAGATCTGAATTCCAGTGGTAGACTTAGTTAAATAAGCATCTGCTTGTCACTTACATTGCCTGAATTTTAGGTTCCTCATCTAAAAAATGAGGAATCTGAGCCAAATGATCACCAAGGTTTCCATCAGTCTCCAAAATTCTTTTGCCTGAATATACTTAGCCCAAATAAATATAAACCCTTAGGCCAATATTTAAAGCCGAAATAACGAGAATAACTAGTTCTATTTTACCTGTCTGTGTTGGACTAGAAGCTGAAATTGGAGATCCAGGAATGGGAATTTCAAATGCACACAAAAATCCACTCACTGAGAGTCTCACTTTTTGGTTGTCTTGAGGGAAATTCTACAGAAAAAGAGGATGAGAAGGAGGAAATGTTTCATATAAAATGGAAAATCATTTGAAACAAACGTCTTAGATGGTTTCACGAATAAAACAAACAAAATGACTGAATAACTTTTCTCAAACAGCTAAAAGATGAAAGCTTGATAAACTGACTGAAAACTAACCTCACTGACAAAACATGTTATCCCATTCCATAGGAAAGAAGTTGTTTTGAATAACTGATGGCTTAAGTTTTGTCCTTCATTTCAAGCATCTAAATCCCAAACCTCAGAGAGACCTTACCTTTGCATTACACATGAGAAAACATCAGTTGGGAGTTTGTTCAGAAAGCCCAAAGATGAATATGAATAATATCAATGGTAGGAGTTCAATTGAGGGTAGGCAATATATTATTATTTTATTAATTTTAATTTTTATTTATTTTTGTTTCAAGCTTTTACTTAAATCCTAGCTAGTTAATACATATATAGCGTAATATTAGTTCCAGGCAATGTATTTATTAAATTGCTTGCTTCTCCAGCTGGTATGCACGAAGAAGTGATTTATGTCAATTTGTCTTTGCTCTCTAACATCTTAGTGTGTTGAAAGGCCAGGTATATATATTCATAAATAAATCGTAAAAGCATACATTTATAAATATGTAAAATACTTTAACCAAGGAAGAATTCTAGTAAGAGTGGTAATACAAAAACCTGTAAAGTGTAGCAGCAGTAGTCACTGGGGGAAATCTATACTGTAGTGATGTAGCTAGATTACTCCATACAGATAGCGCTAGGCTTATATTGCCCTTCTTTTAAAATGCCACTATCAGGGTACCTGGGTGGCTCAGTTGGTTAAGTTAAGTTGTCCATCTTCAGCTCAGGTCATGATTTCATGGTCATGGGTTTGAGCCCCGCATCAGGCTCTGTGCAGACAGCTCCCTGGAGCCTGCTTTGGATTCTGTGTCTACCTCTCTTTCTGCCCCTTCCCTGCTTACTCTCTTGTCTCTGTCTCTCAAAAATGAATAAAAATGTTAAAAAAAAATTTTTTTTTAATGCCACTATCATTATTACTTCTTTATGCTGGTAGATACCCTTTTTAAAGTTTCAGGGATGGGAAACTGTTAAATTTTGTTCATTCTTTGTTGTGTTTTGATATCCCCTTCAGTCATTTAATAATTAATTGAGAAAACTGTGATCTTTAAAGGATGGAATCAAGGGTATCCTAGAAAGAATAATCAATATTACCTTTATGTTGGACCCATGTACTTCTGCAAGAAGGATCTGTTCTGATTTAAGTCCACAGAGATCGCTCAGCTGTTTTTTTAAACCTGTGTACTTTTCATCCATATTCAGTCGTAGTCCATATCGTACAGGGGTAGTACCATCCAGCTTAATAACTAGTAAAGAGAAAACATCTTTTAGGTATAATGCATATAATGCACATTTCACTGAAAGCTCTACTGTGTGTGTGTGTGTGTGTGTGTGTGTGTGTGTCTGTGTGCGTGTGTGTCTTGGAAACAGCAAACGTTTCAGTCTAGAATTTTTATTTTACATGTAAACTACAAGAAATGGTTGTATCATCAGGGATGATACTGAGTGAAATCATTATTTTTTGATGTTCATCTGATATAGAAGTGTGAGTGGTTTTGTAAGATTTTAAAGAGTTTCTGGCATGTTTGAAACTAACAGAGGTATCAATGGGCACAAGGCGTGGTCCCATGTTCCAGGGTCTGGAGTTCCTGCCTGAAATTACACTGTTGGATTATAACATGCTGACCAATTTTTATGATAATACATTATAATGTTTGTTTATTTGGGGGGGGGGGAGCCAGAGAGAGGGAGATACAGAATCCAAAGCAGGCTCCAGGCTTTGAGATGTCAGTACAGACCTTGACATGGGGCTCGAACCCATGAGCCATGAGATCATCCTGAGCCAAAGTCAGACACTTAACTGACTAAGCCACCTAGGTGCCCCTATGAGAATGCAGTATAAAGAAATGACTATACTTAGAAATTCAAATTCAGGCTACCTGATCAATGTAGAAGACATTGAAGTTAAGTAGATTTTCAGAACTTTGTGACCTACCTGTTATTTCTAAGTGCATATAACTGTCCATTGGTAGTGGCAAAGACAAAAAATTGAAAGGGTCAAATCGCACACTTATATGCCCACACGTTTTGCATCTGACTTGGGACCTCAGCTGCCCATGGAACAAATCCACAACAATCGATCTATTCCTTCTCAGATGGTTGTCCCATGCCTAGCAAGGAAAAAGATCAGAGAGCTTTCTTTTTTCAAAATTCAAAAAATAATTATTTCTACATAAATTCAAATAAATTGGTTAAATATTTTAGGTTTAAATGCCAAGAATATAACCCTCTGAAACTAATGTAACATTATGTCAACTATACTCCAATAAAAAAAAAGAACATAATTCTTAATCTTCATTTAAGATATAGAAACTTTCTGCCTGCAAATTTACAAATCAAGTATGTAATTTAAAATGTACTGGCCTACTGAGGAGAGAAAACCAGTTCTTGATTAGAATGTGATTCTTTCTGTTCAACCTAAATGATATTAAATTCAGACGGAAAAATCCCTTTTGTTCTTACCATGGTAACAATGATGAGAATTAAAGTTCTTTGTCCATTAAAGAGCAGATAAAACATACATATTCATCATTGTACACATCATTTTAGCAATTATGGGGACTCCTGAAGTTCTACTGAGTAAGTCCTGCATCCTTTCCCATAAGTTTACAATGTAAAATTTTTCATTAAAGATGCCTTGTTTTGGCATTACTGAACAAGAATCAAGCAGAGAAATATAAATTCTTTTACTTCCATAGTAAAATTTTGATCACAGAATAGTTTAGTTAGCATTCAACTTGTACAACACACATCTGTGGCCAGAACATTTTATCTATTGCTTACATTAGAAACTCAAAACCGACAAACCTCTGCAGCTACTTCCCAGTCTGGTCGGCCATCACTGTCCTTCAGTTCCACATAGGGCTTCTCATGGACTCGGTTAAGATCTTCATGGAGACCATCCAAGAGAAAAGCCAGAAGTTCTTGGGAGTCTTGTTGCTGGAACCCATTAAACCTGGGAGCATATTTTGCTATGGTCCACTATAAATATAACAGAATCAAACTCATTATTTGCTACCCCATAAAATTTGGAATGAACATGCCCCATAATTCAATCAGAGGCATTATAAGAAGATAGAGTATTTAGTCTGCCTCCATTTCAGCAAATATATTTGGAATAATCATGAAATCTCTCTGTGGTCTTAATTTCAATGATTAAAAAAAAAAAAAAAAACAAGGGAAGAAAAACAAAAAAGTATTTTGGCTAATTCTGTGTCCCAGTTCAGTATCATATAAGCAAAAAGTTCTTTAGGTACACAGACATTATTTAAGACAAGTAAAGACAGAAATATATATATATATACATATATATACATATATATATGTATGTATATATATGTATGTGTATATATATATATATATATATATATATATTTTTTTTTTTTTTTTTTTAAGGCTTTTATTTTGAGAAAGACAGAGACAGTGTGAGTGAGAGGGGAGAGAGAGGTGAAAGTGGAGAGGAGAGAAAACAACCTCACAGGGCTCCACACTGTCAGCACAGAACCTGATAAGGGGCTTGAACCTAAACTGTGAGATCATGACCTGAGTCAAATCAAGAGTTTTATAATTTAACTGACTGAGCCACTTGACACCCAAGACAGAAATAGCATTTGCTTTTCATTGAAAAAAATCTCTGTTACAGTTTTCTTTTACAGTTAACCTATCTAATTTTATAACCTTTTATTACTAGGAGGCAGAGCCTCATGTTTAACTCTGAGGACTTACTATCTTGTAATCTTGGGCAAAACTATTTAACTGCTCTGAGCCCAGTTTCCTGAGCCATAAATGAAGATAATAATATTGCTTTATATTACAGTGACTATTTAGAAGATTGCTAGAGTGATACAAACAAAATATCATTAGAATAGCCTGAACAGAAAAGATGCTCTCAACACGCCTCCTTATCAGGGAAATACAAATCAAAACCACACTCAGATATCACCACAGTCAGAGTGGCCAAAATGAACAAATCAGGAGACTGAAAGCGGGCGGGTGAGGGAGAAATAGGAACCTCTTGCACTGTTGGTGGGAATGCAATTGCAGCCACTCTGGAAAACAGTGTGTGGAGGTTCTCAAAAATTGGGTACTGACCACCTTTATGACCCAGCAGTAGCATAGAATTTACCCAAGGGATGCAGGAGTACGATGCATGGGGCAATTTGTACCCCCCCCCAATGTTTATAGCACTTCAACAACAGCCAAATTATGAAAGAGTCCATCAACTGGATGAATGATAAAGAAATTGTGGTTTATGAATAATAATGAGTACTATGTATAATGAGGAAAGAATGAAATATGGCCCTTGTAGCAAATATGATAGAACTGGAGAGTGTGATGCTAAGTGAAATAAGCCATACAGAGAAAGACAGATACCATATGTGTCTGCCACTCTTGTGGATCCTGAGAAACGAAAGTTCAATGGGAGGGGAAGGGAAAAAAAAAGAGAGAGGTTAGAGTAGAAGAGAGCCAAAGCATAAGAGACTCTTAAAAACTGAGAACAAACGGAGGGCTTGATGGGGGGGGTGGAGGGAGGAGGGTAAGGGATGGGTATTGAAGAGGGTACCTTTTGGGATGAGCACTGGGTGTTGTATGGAAACCAATTTGACAATAAACTTCATATATTGAAAAAAAAAAGAATAGTGCCTGGAAGTGGTTAAGTAGTCAAATTTTTAGCTATTATGATTATTAATTTTAAACTAAAAAGTTTTTGTATTGTTTTTAAATAAAGATAAAAAATAACCCTAACTTTACTACATATGATATTAATGCAAAATTTGTATCCATGAATTTCAGTAATTACATTCTTTCAGTTTTTTTAAATTCTACAGATAGAATTAATTACTTTAGTAATGTCAAAAATATATGGAGTATCATTAACTAGACTCAGAGGTATATCTTGCAGTTATAATACTGTTAATAGTAAAGGACTAACAATGGAAGATTTACTATACATACAAGTAAGATACCTGATAAATTAGTAAACTGAATGACATTCCAAATTTAGACTGTGACTTTGTTTCCCAGTATTTTGCATACATCTGAACAAGTAAAAGTATTTGACATCTATGTCTAGTGAAGCATCTAAAAAACATTAGTTAAACTAGAACTAAAAAAGCTAAACATAAAAAGCACGTGGAGAAAAAGAATTACTTAAACAACTGCTTAGGACTTAAATACTTTCATATTATTTTAATCTGCTTACCCGAAGCTTTAATGGGGCGACATTCTTCTGAGTTCCACTCCAAAGTTCCTGTACTAAATCCCCATAGCACTTAGCCATATGCCCCTTCATACCAATGGGATTTGTCCTAGAAGTTTAAAGAGGAGAATTTTTGCGAAAGATTCTCATAAATCACAATCACAGAAATGCCTAGCATCTATTTTCTCACATCAAAATATCTTTTTTAAACAAGTATGTCTTTTCCCTCATTTCATACTAACTAGGGCAAATAAGACTTTTGGGTTCATATCAAAATTATAAAGAGAGAGCAATGAATCAGGAAATATTATTACCTGTTGAGTTCATAAAGATGTCTCCCTGAGATAAAATACTGTGTCAGTGGCTGTGTGTTACTAACACACTGGATGCTTGAGTTCATGAAGCATGTGTTTCCCAGGTTACTCAGACCTGTGGCTCCCTTTTCTGTGGGAACTGGAACAAACAATATGAGAAAGAAGCTTGGCTATAGTAAGATGTCACAGACCAAACAGTTACTTGTATTTGATGCAAAGATTTTTAAAATTCTTTCAGTTGGCTAAATGGAGCTAATACTTCTTTATCCAGTCTTGGAATGCTAAAAGTAGAGAAGGTTTTTCATGGGATGTCACTGGCAATCATGATAATCCAAGTTCATTTGTGATCTAAAAGTAGCAATGATTCTAACTGCTATGATAGTTTTTTTTTTTTAATTTTTTTAAATGTTTTTATTTATTTTTGAGACAGAGAGAGACAGAACATGAGCAGGGCAGGGGCAGAGAGAGAGGGAGACACAGAATCCGAAGCAGGCCCCAGGCTCTGAGCTGTGAGCACAGAGCCTGACGCGGGGCTCAAACTCATGGACTGTGAGATCATGATCTGAGCTGAAGTCGGATGCTTAACTGACTAAGCCACCCAGGCACCCATGCTATGATAGTTTTTTAGAATTCAAACAATTCTCTCCTAGTATCGGGTCTTTAAAAAGATATAAATTCTTTAATTGTGAGGTTATAAAAAATGTGATGCTTCAGGAAAAAGTAAAGTAAAAGGGGAACTAGTTCACTTTTGAACTAGAGGGCCAAAAGTTGTTAACACTTCAATAGATAAGAAAATTAAAAAAAAAAAAAAGAAGGAGGAGGAGGAGGAGCATAAGCAGAGGAAGAAGAAGAAGAAGACGACGACTTTTAAGACCATCTCTTTAAAAATAATACATCAGAGACTTACCCTTGTGTCTATCTATTTTACTACTGTTTGCTATAAAGGACATTTCCTCAGGCCAACTCATATCTTTGTTGCGAACTGGAAAGACAGAAAATGTGTTAATTTCTTATCTATATCCATTTAATTGCTTCTTTTTTTTTTTTTTTTTTTTTTTTTTTTTTTTTTTTTTTTAAATGTTTTTCTTTCTTTTTAAGACAGAGAGACAGAGCAGGAGTGGGGAGGGACAGAGAGAGAGGGAGACACAGAATCGGAAGCAGGCTCCAGGCTCCGAGCTGTCAGCACAGAGCCCGACGCGGGGCCCGAACCCACGAACCGCGAGATCATGACCTGAGCCGAAGTCGGACACTTAACCGACCGAGCCACCCAGGCGCCCCGAAAAGAGTTTATTTCTAAATAAACCAGAAACTGAAAAAAAAGGGGTTAATTTTGTAATTGATTCTAAAACTATTCCAACTCTATATTGGGGACTTTACAGTCACTTAATTAGAATTCATTAGTAAGCTATTCCCTCAATTACCTGCCTGGATTAAAATTATACTCAAGTATCGATAAATGTAATTAAAGCTCTTAAACTCAATGCATTAGAATTATCACAATTCCTTCTTAAATTGTGACAACTGTTAGAGTAAAACTCTATTTTAATACAAAGGCAGCTAGCAATGTTTCCAAAAATCTTGATGGGAAAAGATACATTTTAAATTTTCAATGACACATGCATGCCACTATGTAAATGTATATGTGAATATACAAGTAAGCTCTGTTGGTGAGTGACCAGTGTTGATGACTAATGAAAGCCTGTGCCACTAACTGTGCCAGAAAGTTAGTTTTCTTACTCAAACTCAAAAAAGGCAGCTTGAAATTTCTAAGAAATTTTGTAAATTTATAACCGAATTCACTTGTTTCTACCCACCATTTCCATCCATTGCCAGCCAATGAATGTAGACATATTTTTCTTTTAAAGCTATCTTGATAGTATGTAGGATTACATAAGACCTTAATAGTTTTTCTTTACTATAATAGTTAGAAAAATTATAAAATGAATTATTGAGTAACTAAACCTTAAATTCTTTCCCTAAAATCTAATATAGATTCATGCTTCCATCTTGTACCTTCAATTACCAGATGCTGCTCATCCTGGATTTTCAAATATTCCAATCTATGATCCTCATCATCCAGAAGAGTAAGGTAATTCTGGTAAGGAGGAGGAAATGTTTTTGTTAAATTGATTACTAAATTTAAAACAAAATGGAAATAAAATAAAAATGAATGGCAAACACATCCTTGAAGTTCTATAACTTATGTGACAGATATGTGGATATTATAGTTGTTCAGAAATATTAATAATTTAGTTGGCAACATGAGAGAAAAACAATGTCAACTTCATAAACAAATACTTTATGTCTCTAAAACAAAGTTATAACAGAATTTTGGGGAGATCAGAAGACTCACCATAAATCAAACCAAAATTCATGGAGATTTAGATTTTCTGAAGCACTTACAGAACTTTTCTCTAGTACCTGGTATGAAATTCAGTAAACATGTTTGTGAACCAAAACTAGGGGTGTCTGGGTGGCTCAGTTGGTTAAGCATCTGATTTTGGCTCAGGTCATGATCTCATGGCTTATGAGCTCGAGCCTGTGTTGGGCTCTGTGCTGACAGCTCAGAGTCTGGAGCCTGCTTTGGATTCTGTGTCTCCCTCTCTCTCTCTCTGCCCCTCCCCTCTCATGTCCTCTCTGTCTCTCTCTGTCTCTCTGGCTCAGGTCATGATCTCACAGCTTGTGAGTTCGAGCCTGTGTTGGGCTCTGTGCTGACAGCTCAGAGCCTGAAGCTTGCTTTGGATTCTGTGTCTCCCTCTCTCTCTCTGCCCCTCCCCGCTCGTGTCCTCTTTGTCTCTCTCAAAAATAAATATTTAAAAAAAAGAACCACAATATAAAATCATACAGGACAATTACACGTTTTTGTTTGTGCTCGCCCTATTTAAAGTGCTCACAAAGTTAAGTCATTTAATTCTAAGCGAGATCTATTATTTTGCCTGTTTACTCATGAGAAAATTGAGACAGTTAAGTAACTTGCTCTGGGTTATACAGCTAAAGTGGCAGCGACAAGATTAACCCCGGCAGTGTGGTTCCAGGAATCGTGCTATTCACTATTATACCATACTGTCTCTCAATGGTGATCATAGGAGGATGTTACAAAGAGGGAACAATGGAATACAGAACTGGTTAAAACTATTTATGATCCAATTTCAAAGTATAATCTGAAAACACACTGCATATATTAGGAAGAACATATAAGCATTTAATAGCACTGCCTCTGAGGAAAGTGGGAGATAGAGGTCAGAGGTTGGGAACAAAGAATTTTCACTATATACTTTTGTACCATTTGATTCTTTTCAACATGTGTATATAAATTAACTTACAACAGGAGATGACTTACCTCACTGTTGTACAGCCACAGACGCATATCTTCCTCTTTGATGCGTAGCCTCTGAGATAGATATTCATGAATTTCCTTGATGGTCTGCATTCGACTAAAACAGCCTGTATAGGCTAAGACCCGCTTTAAGGGCGCATTTGGAGAAGGTACATTTCCTATGGTCATAGTAATCATGATAAGGAAAACGGCAGATATAAAAAAGAGCTCCCTGATCAGCAATGACTATTTCAGAAAATAATGATGAGAAATGAGAATTATAGCTTTAATAATTTTAAAAATTAAGAAGCTTTAGGGGTGCCTGGGTGTCTTAGTTAAGCATCTGACTTCGGCTCAGGTCATGATCTCGTGGTTTGTGGGTTCGAGCCCCATGTCAGCCTCTGTGCTGACAGCTTGGAGTCTGGAGCCTGCTTCAGATTCTGTGTCTCCCTCTGTCTGCCCCTCCCCCATTCACACTGTCTCTGTCAAAAATAAATTAACATTAAAAAAAAAAGAAGAAGCTTTAAAATAAAGCTGTAAAATGAAGACAGGGGACCAACTGTGTTAAAGTAAGTTTAAAGTCAGTCTTAACTTTGAAAGGAAGAGCAACAAAATCAGAGGCCCAAATTAACAGGCAGTATTTGGATCCCAAGAAAGGTGGCATGTATCAACAATTGACCCTGGTATCTTGGCTGTCCTCGGCAGGGTTACATGATGCAATAGCAAAACCAAAATTCAGTGTAAGAATGGGGAAGATAATATGGGACTGGATTTGAATTCCACAGTTAACTGGATTCATTGAAAAGAAAACCACTGGCCCAAAATGGCATCACTTAGGTTAAAGCCTTAAGTCAATAAACCAGGACTTAAAACCTAACCTAACTGCAGTTTCAAACCCCCAGAAATGTAACCTTTAACCAGTCAACATAGGAATTTCTTTGTCAGTACTAGGAAATTTACTGATAGACTCCTACCATTCCCCTTAAGAGGGAGACCTTGCCTAAAACAGTGGAATCTTTGCTAATAGTTTCCCTTTTTCCATTCCCTCTCTACCTTTAAAAACCTTTCCTTTTCTGTAAGCCCTTGGGAGCTCCCTACTACTTGCTAGACGGGATGCTGCCAAATTCATAAATTGATTAATAAAGCCAATTAGATCTTTAAAATTTCCTTGGTTGAATTTTTGTTATTTAGCAACCTGACCCACTTTCTCCCTTTTTTTAAAGTTTATTTATTTTGAGAAAGAGAGCAAGAGAGCGTAACTGAGGGAAGGACAGAGGGAGAGAGAGAATCCCAAGCAGGCTCCACATTGTCAGGGTGGACAGAGCCTGATGTGGGGCTCAATCCCACAAACTGTGAGATCATGACCTGAGTCAAGATTAAGAGTTAAATGCTTAACTGACTGAGCCACCCAGGCACCCCCTGACCCACTTTCTTAAAATAAACTATCTGTGAATTACTAACCCTATCATTCTCAGTCATTAAGTGCCCTG